GTAAGTTTCAGCAGAGCTTGTTCTTCTAAGCCCTACACTGGTTTAACTAACCTGGTGCAAATGCATGTGTATCCAGTCTCAAAGCTATTAAGCCATTCCTGAATAGGTACTTGATCTTTTAAGGAGGCACAAGGCCAAATTCCCCATATGGTCACAAGAACGTAACCCCCTTTTGGCACGAGTCTCCTCCCAGTCACAAAATGTAGGTCTCTTCTAACACAGGTGCTGAGGCAATCTGTGCGTGAGGCTAACTCCCCTCCTCATTAATGGCAGCTCTGCATGAGAAACTCCTGCACAGCAATGACAGGAAAGCCCCCAGTGTGTGTTAAAATGAGTCATAAATGTTCTAACAACACGATCATTTTGGCTCATTGCTGATACAGCATCTTAGTCGTCCTCCCTACTCATGTTCTTACGCTGCGCACCATTTCCAAGATTTGCAGTCCCTCTTTAACAACACTGAGTTCAAAGTTCTCACCCAGAATAAAATGTTAAATGTTTAAAAGGTCTTTGGAGTCATTTTATTTCCTTCACTTAGCCTAGAATTCCACCTTCTGAAACTGAATATACACTAACTACTATGAAACACAGCTGGTTGTCATTTGAGTAGTTTGCCAGGCTGTTAAAATTACTCTACCAGTTTGGATATGGAGAGGCTGGTGTGTACATGGTAAACGCATTTACTGGATGTCAAGATGAGGCTAGGATAAATGCAGCTACTTCTAGTAAGCCAGCAAGGCACAGTAAACTGTACATATCAGTTCTGGAAATTCTAGAATTTGACTATTTTTATTTTGTTTCAAAAGTTGTGAACTTACTCATTTTTCAGAACTTAAACGCCTGTCACAGGAAAAACTTCTTTTTGTGAAGACAAACATGACTGCTCTGATTCCTGTTCCCAGGCAGTAATTCTTGAAAACCTGATATTTAGAAAATCATTCTGTAGAGGCAGAAGGCCAGAAACAAACCTGAAATGATGGCACTGGTGGTGAAGAACGCAAAATTAATGGGCACAACTGCTTTTGCTTCATACAGATGCATTGCTTGATTCAAGAACCTGGAAGACAAGAGTTATTGCATCTCATGCCTACAGGAGTTTCATTGCACTTTAAGTCAGGTTAAGCCACTTTATGTCAGTTTAACAGTAAGTGTGACAATTTCTTACCACAACAGTAAGTAGCCCTGGACAGATGCGTATGTGTATTGAATTTACCTTCTGGTTTTGACTCTGCAGAGTCAAACAAATAGGTGAAAGCAAGAAGGTTGGCATGGATTCTGCTGGCCATAGGCTGTCATTGGAGAGTTCTCTGAAGCACTGTTGGAAAAATTTTGTCTGCCACAGATAAGGGAGGAATGCTAGGGTATTACTGCTTATGGTCTGCATCGGTTCTTGGAATCAGTGCTGCCTGAGAGCAGCCAGGGACAAGTTGCTCTAATTTAAACAGGTTGTGTAAGGGTATATTTCCAGCACGGACACGAACACGCAAGTCCTCGTAGGAACTGTTTCACTTTGCTGAAGTCCACATTGCTGCTACTGCTCAATCCAACTTGGCTAAAACACATATTTGTATGTTTATGCATGCAATCATACCCCAGACACACTCTGTCCTGCTGGGAAAGTTCAGGGAGGTGGCTCCAAGCCTGTGCTCCTCGGGTTGGAAACTCTCTGCTGTGCTCCTCCGAAAGGCAATGCAAACCCTCACCAGAACCATGAGCAAGAGTGTGCAGGACCACAGGAGTGCGCATTGCACACAAACCTGTAGGACTGAGACATTGGCCATGGAGCAGCCCGCACAGTCTGCATCAGTGGATGAAAAAGGCAAAGCAATTCACCCACTTGCACAGAGACCAGGGCTATCAACATTTACCCGCAGAGTGATGAATCGTGAGTGTGAACTCTCAGATGCACCAGCAGATACTCTGTTATGTGAACGGTGCATTTCAGACCGAAAGAGAAAAATCAGGAGGCTGCAGAGTGTATTCAAAACCTACAAAAAGAACCACACTTAAATGTTTCACTGGTACAATATATGTGCACAGTAAAAATCCAAGCTTGGATCTGTTTTAGTCATTAAAGTAATTGCATGGTTATTTTAGCAACTGTTGAACAGTCTCCATGGTGCTTTAAAAATAAAGAAATCCTACATATCCACAAGATAGTCAGGATTTTGAAGTCATTGAAAACACCTCATTATTTTCTCCCATTTGCAACAAACTTGGTCACAGGGACTAAAGCAGTGATACCATGGTCCAGCATTGAACCCAGGAGGGTGTTGCAGCACAGGCTCCTCTGAGCTATCACATGACAGTCAAATAAAATAAGAGAGGAAACAAATAAAATGAAAAATTTAGACTGACAGCACTGTCTCTGTTAGAAAATGTGTCCAACAGAGAAGACAGAGACACGCTGATCCCAGGGAATGAAATGGGCACATTTCATTTCTGTTTTAATTTTGACTCTGCAAATGAAAGAAAGAAAAAAACCTGGCAAGGAGGAGAGGTTAATTCATCAGCTTCCTATTTACCAAACTTTTATTTCCTATTTTAAATGCCCTGAGCTGTTCTCCCAGCGAAGACAAGCTGGGTGTAAATCACTCTCTAATCTGTTACAGGGGAGTTCCTGAGTCAGCCATGGAGAGTCACTGCGTAATAACGCATGGACTTTCTGATTCCACATGGGAATGGTATGTTCTGCCACGAGAAAGCTGGGCTGGCTCTTCTACCGGAAAATAATCATGCAAGTAAACACTCAGACTCGCACTGGAGCAGTCTAGATGAGATTACTGAATGATGCTATCAGCACCTGAAGCAGAGGGACCAGCATAAAGGGGATGGCTCTCTGTTCAGCTGCAAGTCGTATTTTACAGTGCTGCCACCCCCAGCAATCTGCAACGGCAGCATAAAACAATCACATAAAACAACCACTCACAGAGGCCAGCAGGGAAAATCCTGATGTCCCCGGCACACTAAAAGTTAACTATTTCCTAAAAAGGTACAGACATACAGGGTAGCAAAGCGCAACATGCAGATTTAACAGAGGCAGGGAGAAAGCTGAGGTAAGCTCTCGTTTTCAGCCTGACAAGTGACATGGAAAGAGAGATGCATAATGGGGGTAAATGTGGCCATTTGATTATTCAGCAATGAAGGTTTCCAAAACTAACAAAAAAAATTTACATAAATACAAATTTCATTTAATGAGTTCAAAACCTGTGACAAAACTACAAATTATTTTGGGAAGACCTTGTATAAGGTGATAATGAGAGGAGGTAACATCTATGTAATTAATCAGTTATAAACTGAAAAATAAAGCCTAAATAAACATTATAATCAGCTTTAGGCAATTCATGCATCTGTCAAAGCTCTGCCAGGAATCTGTTGCCTTTAAGTGCAACTTGTATCTGGAGTCAATATCGGTAGCAAATAAAACTGACAGATAAATGGGTACAAAGGTTAGGAGATAAGTAGAATCTCACTTACTTGACTTGGAAAGCACAAGAAGTTGCCATTAAAACAATCATGATATAGAAAACAGGGTAAGTTAGCTGCATTTTCCCCTTTGCAGAGAGTATTATCATGCTGGCCACAGCCTTTACAGCGATGACAGTCAGCGATGCTGAAAGGGAAAGCGAGAGATTAGAGCAGGTTTCATGGCCTCAGAGCATCGGTGAGGGAGGACAAGGTGCCAGGTCAGAGCACAGAGCTGATCACCTAACGAGACACTGAGGTAGGGTTTGGGCACCTAAAACTAAGTGTGTGATTTTACAAATGCTCATAAACTACTGCCTAAACTCAGAGTGGCCTTAACTGCATGTGTGCGTTGTGTTTTGCTTTTAAGTTCTTGTGCATTGAGGTCTGCCACCCTGCACCTACCCAAAGTTTCCCCATTTTCACTAGGGTAGCTGAGGTTAGTGTCAGATAAAATCTTGCAAGGTAGATGTGTGTGTGAGAGAGAGGCAGAGTTTGGGTAGATGAAAGAACTGGATCCATTTCCCACTGTGCTGGGCAGATGTTCTAAACACTGGACTACCAGTCAGAGGTAGTGCAACAGCTTCTACATCTTCCAGACATGCTTTATTTAACTCCAGCTGCTAATTTGGAACCCATGTTGCATTATTCAGGAGGGGCCTGAGAGGTTTTGTTATTTGTTCAAATCAGCTAGGACACTCCTAATAGCAGCCTGCATGTGACACTGGCAGCCTAAAATAACTCCTCACCCCCAGGATTTCTCTGCTGAGATGGGAACTGGCCAAAGCTGGCCAAAGCTGACTTCTGGGATCGCATCACGAAGCACCTAACTCTCCCCATGGGTTATGTATGGAGAGCGGACAACCAACACAGGGGTCTGCATTTTATTTCAAGGGCCAGGTTCTTAAGACCATTTACTGGACTTAGCACACAAACCAGACTATTTCAGTAGTGTGTTTTCAATCCATTTAGTCATTGTCATTGCAGCACCACAAACAAATCTCAGACAGCAGGCAATGATTTTGATAGATATCACCAGTTCAGAGAAGTCTTGCAATACACATCTTTTAGAAAAGGGGCTGACAGTTCAGCTAAGAGCTACTTTAGATTTCCTTTTGGAGTGTGCTCTTGGTTTGTTGAAGCTCACCCAAGTAGGCTGTGATTACTGCAAATAAAATGTAACAAATTCAAAAGAACCTAAAAATGATAAGAAGAGTCAGGGTGCAGAGATGACCTTTGAAGAAAGGTAATTAATCGTCAGGAGCACCGTCCCCCAGCTGGGATCCAGTTCCAGCCTCTGCCAGAGCTGAGGAGTGTTGGGTTTCGGTGGTCTGATTCATCCTCCTGTAACTGCAAAATTCAGATTGGCAAGACGAGCTGCACTGTGCAAAAAGTTCAGGCTGAGGTTTGGGAGAAAATGTGGGGGAAGAAGAACAAAGTCAGGTCTGTCGTTTTGATTGCAAGCATTTTTCTTATAGCAAGTCCAAAAGTTCAGGAGGAGTTTAGGAGTTGCATACATCTTGTGATGATCCTGTTTACCATCATGAAATTCACTGTTTTCATGACAACCTTTCCACCTAGTACTTCACTTCTTGCTCTGTAATGGAAATGAGTGAAGCGGTTTAACAAACACAGCAGTAAAATTGAGCAGAGGAGGTCAAATACTGGCCTGAAGTGGTGCTTAAAGGTATGATAAAAAGCCAAAAAATACACTCAAGCCCCAACAAGCAGCCTATATAAAAAACTGAAATTTGCACTCTAGCATGGGGGAGTTATTATTTTAAAAGAACATTTACAGACAAAAATTAGTAGTTTGAATTGTCCAACTAAGGGTAAACATTGCTGAAAAAATGTGTGCTGGTTTTGCTTTACCTATTAAACTGTCTTTATTTCAATCCATGATTTTTCTCATTTTTACCCTTCTGATTCTGTTCCCCATCCCACCATGGGGGGTTGCGTGGTGCTTAGTTGCCCGCTGAGGTTACACCACAAAATGCTTCTGATGAAAGGGCAGTTTCCATCCTTACAATTTTAATAAACCAGAAAAGAAAGCATCAGGGTTTTTTTGGTTGGATGATTGGTTGGTTTGGGGTTTTTTTGAAAAGTGGAATGATCTTTTTAGTTAAAGTAGCCCTGGAATAAGTTGCAAAACCTAGGAAATGTTTTTCCTATCACTGATAGAATGACTCCTCTCCAAGGCTAGTGTAACAAATGATGTCACTTTCCAGCTGTTAGGGAAGGAAACTCAGAAATCCCACTTTAATCTGAAATGTTTCCCCTCAAACTTATGATAACTCCCGGTATATACACAAGGTAAGATAATTCTCACCAAATGAACTTGCAGAGTTGTATTAAGCAAAACGTTCACAGATTTTGCGATCACCTCTGTGTTTTCTTCATAATGAAAGTAGCTCGCATATCTAATGAAGCAAAAAGGCTGCCTTCTTTTTAAAGAAAACTTTCTGCATGTAATTTGCATCTGTACAAACCCTCCACCAGGAACGTATCTGTGCAGACAGGAGAAAAGGCAGAAATCCCCTTCCACGAGCTGCCACCGAGAATTTTCTGCACAGAGACCCCAAGCCTCGTCCACCCCTCCCACAGCCAGGGCCCCCCGAGGGCAGCGCGCGTCTAACAGCTCGCTCTCAGCCCCTCATCGCTTTGCTCAGCAGAAAGGTTGGAGGACAAGCAGAAGGCTCCAAGTCTAGTTTTGTGGGGAGTGCCAGGCACCAGGACAGCTGCAGGAACCAGAGCCAGACACAGTTCTGGGTTTCCTGCTCGAGGGAAATGTCAGTATTTCAAAAGTTCCCATGAACCAGGGTTTGTTTGTTTGTGTCTTTTTTAATAGAGCAGAAATAATGACACATTTTTCCTGAAGCTGCACATGCTCACCAAAACCTCAGCAGCCACCAGCTGAAATTGTTATTTTTGGTTGACTGCAGCCTGACCACCAAACTGCAGTTAGTGCCTGCTGGGGCACGGGTTTGCAGCCCTGCTGCTGTTCAGCAGCTCCACGCGTCCCTTTGGCACTGGTGGCATCGAGGCTGGCAGGCTCCATGGCAAAAATAAGCACGTGGGGCTACACAGCCCAATGGCCCACGTATCCCGGACCCTTGTGTTGACCTTGCTTGGGGCAGCCATCGTGGTGGGTCTGCCCAGAACTGCAGCAGGCAAGTGTAGAAGCCCATCTGGGGATCTTCAGGTATGTGACAAGGAGCATGGACCCGCTCATCGCTCAGGAGCGTACAGTGCTTCATGCTCCCCATGGCAGGGTTGGAAGCAGTGGAGCAGCTCAAGCGAACTCTGCCAAAGCTCGCAGGCTCCATGCTAGGAGCTGAGGGATGGCTGGACTCACATGTCACTCCTCCAAACCAAGAGCAGTCAAACAGTTAGACCTAAGGCGTTTGGGGCTTTTCCATCTCTGCCTCATGCAGGGAGCATGGAAAACCTTCAAGGCTTCTGCAGAGCTACAGATCGTAATGTTCCCAGTGCTGGGAAACTTAAATGGGAAGACTCTCTCAAAAAAGTTGGTCTGAAAGTCTGAGCTTTTCAGCTGGGTAAGAAACTGGTCAGGGATCTGAAGGAAGGCACTTAATAAATCTGTGAGGCTTTTTCACATTCAGTTAAATCCAAATTGTGTAACTAACTGTCAAACTTCAGTGAAATTCTGTTTTATCAAAACACTTGTGACCAGCTCCATTAGAAATGTGCTTTATAAGTCTTTGAAGACTGATGCATGTACCTGCTGAACTCAGTGAAAATATAACCACTGACTTCAATGGCATAGTTCAAGCACCTTTCACTTCAACCAAAGAAAAGTGGTGTCCCATCAGAGTTTCATGGAAAAGTAACAAAACAAGGACAGGAGAAGACATGGGATGGTGACAAATTCTTAATAGATGCCTGCAAGCAGAAGAGCTTCCTGACATTTTTCAAAACTGATTCATGTTTAACTTTATTGAAAGCTGCCTGATAAAATGATCTCACTTGTTTCCCTGGGTATTGATTGTGGTAATGTTAATCAGAAGGTAAACTTCAGTGGCCCACTGAGTTCTTGCTATGCTTCTGGAAAGGTGGTAAAGTAGGAAATGTTGGATATGCAAACAGGCATAGATAATTCAAACAGAAATTCCTGCACAGTCACAGCATACCACTGCTTTTGCTTACAGAGTGTTTACAAGGTCTTAAACTGCTCTGTTTTAAAGAACTGATTTTCACAGCTAGCCTGCTTTCCAAAACAGTTTCAAACAGTCCACTTTCCCAGGATCTAAAGCTAAAAGGTTCTTTAAAAAAAGCTTCAGAATACCATTGCACACAGCATATTAATTTCAGGAAATCTGTAAAGAGAAATAGTCCCAGCAAGAAGCATAGAAACTATGTTTCATAATCAGCTTTTCTCTTCAAAAAGAGCCTTCTCCTTCAGCACACTGCTTTGAAATGGCCCTAATCTAAACTAGGGGAGACTGAGTGACAAGGAATTATCAAGTAACAGACAGGACCATTAAAGTGAATATGTTCTTACCCAGTAGTGCTACCATCATCAACAAAACCACGATGTGCTTCACAGCCTTTATTTTGTAAAAATAGAGGAGAATGCAGAATATTATAATTTCTAAGATCTGAAAATAAAAGGGAAGAAAGTCAGAGCTGTGAAACTTTGTAATAAATGCCTCGTTCAAAGTCTTTGAGATGTCACATTCATTTTCTCTGCTCTAACAGTTCAAAGAATTACTTTATCAAGCATCTTCTGCTAAAAACTAACCTTATTGCCAGTTGATTGAACTATCAAACAATTGTCATTTATCTTTCCTATTATAGCAAAAATTAAACTTTAAGCATTTCTTATTTCTTTAGTTTTTCTTTTTGCACTTCTAGCTGTATTTTGTCACAGGTAGCATTGAGAAGACTTTTGAATATGACAGCAAAGATACCCATGTTTATTGGTAATAATCCTTACAGAAACTCTGTTTATAATTCCTACGGAGTAAAGCACTTACCTGGAGGAACAGCAGTCTCTCCTTCTAGCTCTGGTATTCCTTGTGTTACTCTTTGTTACATGCAAGCTATTTTTGCTACCCTCTTTGCCCTTCTCCCCAGTCCTACTGAAAAATATTCCCCCAAATACTGTCTTTTTGTTCAAACTTTCTGCCGTACATGGTAAGGAGGAAAACATTTATTTCACGTGGTGTTTCTCAAATCACAGATACATGTCAAGAGCTTACCTTGAAAATCTCAATGCCACACTAGCAGACCACACTGCAGGATATCTGCAGTTGCTGAAGCAGCTTTACCTACATTGTGCATGGTCCAGATTCGCTCCTTCAACACCATCTGACAGCTAAATAACAGACACACAAATTTACTGACTTGCTGTTAGTGTGTCTCTTCGCAGATTCCCTTAGTAACTCTTACCTTTTGCCACCTCAAAAGCATAGATATTCTCCCACCTACCCACGTTGCCCAAGTACTCCTCTATGCCTAAAGTAAACAGCAAGTGCAAGAGCCAAAAACCTTCTGTGAAGCCCAGAAGACTGACGAAAACAGGGGTGATGGACCTCTGCACCTTCTGAGAGGCACTCAGAAGCCTGGTAGCCTTAGAGACAGCGTGAAGAAATAGAAGTTTGTTTGTGTGTGTCGGAAATGGGGGGGAATAAGACAGAAGATGAGACTGTCATCATTAATGAATCTGTCATTTTTTACCAGCGAAACCAGTCATAGAAAAACCTCACATCTATCTCCTTGGTTTTGTCACTAACATACTATTTTACGTTTTATAATGCCACTTCACTCTTAAACTAGCAGTTGCCACAAGGCAGCACTAGACTTGAAAAGACCTGGGTGTTGCGACCGTGAAATTTTCAGAGAAGCGACTGAACAGTTACTAGCGGCGGTTATATAACGTACCATAGCTGGTTTCTCATTTGGAGGGTGGCTGCAGCAGGAAAGCCGTCAGCAGCTATGTTCAGTTACTAAAATTCTCTACCACACTCACACGTCCCCCAGTTTAGTAGTGTTCAAAAATATGAACAGACCATAATTACGCTTTAATTAATTTTTTATTTACCTTCACACTGATCCCTTGCTCCCAAAGACAACTGAGAGGCAATTGCATCTCAGAACACTACAAAGACAAATCCGGATTTTATACCACCTTTCTTTAAAAAATGTCAAATATTTATCACAAGATTAATAACAAAAAAAGGCAAAGTGTTTTAGGTTTTTTTGTGAAATGCGTTGAATATAATAAAGCATTT